GACCCGAGCCTCGGCCTCGCGCGCCCCGCCCCGCCGCCCACAGCCCTCGTGGGCCGGCTCAGGGCCGCCCCCCGCAGCCCCGACCCGACCGGCCCGAAACGAGCCCGCACAGCCTCGGCCACCAACCCGCTCGGCCGCCTCGTTGAAGAGAAAGAGGGCGGCGGAACCGGAAACCGCGGCGCGCTGCTGAGAGCGCCTGCGCATGGGGCACGCCACGCGCCTGCGTCACAATCCACGCCCCGCCCCGCCGCCATGTTAAGTGCTGGCGAGCGAAGCCGCGACGCGTGCGGGCGGGCTGTGCCCGCGGGTTTCCGCTGTGGGATCCGCACTCCGGGTCACGTGAGCGGAGGGCCTCACCTCTGCAGGTGTTGCGGCCCCCTGTCTCCGGGCCTCCAACAGCTGCTGGCACTTGGCGGGACTCGGAGTACTTGAGCAGAGCGGCGAATGCTTTCTGTTAAAGCACAGGCACCCCGCGGAGGACCTGCGGGTCCAGGATGCAGGGTCGGGGCAGGGAAGGTAGGAGGCTCAGGGGCCGAGGTAGGAGACCCCGGGAGCCACCGGAGGCTGCTAACAGTGGAGACGGTTATCAGAAAGCTCTCTGGCCGCCGTGCACGGAAGGGTTTCAGGGCCGAGCGTACAGGAGCAGAGAGAGCAGGTGAGACAGGTGCATTCGCCCAAGAAAGGGGGACGGGGAGTAGTGAAAGGTGCCGGTGGGACCCAGGTCTGTTTTGGATGCAGGACCGAGACTTGGGGAAAGTGCCGGGCGCGGGAAAGAGGTGAGGACGGAGAAGTTGTCTGCAAGACTGGCAGCCTACTTCTTTATTTCCTCGGTGGGACCCAGGTCTGTTTTGGATGCAGGACCGAGACTTGGGGAAAGTGCCGGGCACGGGAAAGAGGTGAGGACGGAGAAGTTGTCTGCAAGACTGGCAGCCTACTTCTTTATTTCCTTGACCATTTCCCAGGGCCCGCTATGTACCACGCAATAGCAGACACATTCGTGTCTGGGAAAATGCCTTTATCATTTCTGAGTGTCCAAAGATGAGGGGACGACTCAGGGACAGTGTCTAATGGGGAGCGGGACCCAGTCAGGCTCCCTGAGTTCACCCTGGGGCTGAGGCCTGGAGAAGTTATTCAAGGAGGTGAGGGAACAGAGTTGCAGGCAGAGTGAACAGCACATGCAAGGAACTAGGTGGTCATGGGAACTTGAGTTATAGCTGCCACCACAGGGGACTCCCACCAAGAGCAGCTACGTCTCCTGTCTCAGTGGTGCCTGGTCCCCTGCCCCATACTCAGCACTTGTGCACCTTCTGGGCACCAGGGCCCAAGGATGGAAGGAAGCCACAGCTGGGTGTAAGCTTCCCTTTTTATTGATGAGTCTTTTTATTGATAACTTCTCAACAGCATCTGTAAACATCGGATACAAAAATATTCTGTTAAACTCTTTTCCAAGGTGACTCGGCTTGCTCCACGGAGTCCTGCTAGGCCCCCAAGGCCACATCTCTGTCCAAAGAAACACAGGCCTCATCAGGCTCAGGGCTGAGTGGATGGCCAGCCTCCGTCTCAAGCCTTTTACCTGTCTCAGAAACCCCCTTGAGAGACCAACCGGAGGAAGTATTTGAGACTTTTGTTGGACGAAGGGGCAGGGAAACCAGAATTAATGGGTGCAGGGGTGGGCTGGGGTGAACTCCTATGTGACACTGCTCGTCCACTTCAAGGAGGTCCTCACCAGGGGGCAAGGGACATCTTGCTCTTGTGTCTGGGAACCTTTTAAATATTGTTCAGAGCCGACCGCAGGCCTGGCTCTGGAAAAGTTCCCTAGTGCCCAGCTCCGTGACTCCAGCTGGGACGGATGTGCCCTGGCATGGCAGAAGTGCCTGCAGAAGAGAGATGTTCTTAGGGAGGAAGGAGCGAGAATTAGAGACCCCCAGGAATCCCACACCCCTAGGAAGGGAGCCCTGTATGACAGAAGAGGGTGGCAAAGATGATGATTCTGAGGCAGGGTTACCCACTGCCACCTCAGACACGTGGGTGGTGGGGGGAGTGCCGCCGCCCTGAGACCCCATGGTGTGCAGGGAGCAGGGCTACTCGCCCAGCATCTCTTCCTCATCAGTCTGGCTGTGGCCATTGACGGCAGGGGAGCCAGGCCGGACGTGGGACAGGTCCTCAAAGCCGGGGCTAAGGGAGGGTGAGACGGTGTCAGGGCTGGTGTCACACGACCCCGTGCTCTGTTCTGAGGTGGCAATGGTGGTTGTGGTGCTGGGCGGGATGGGGTCTTCATCCTCATCCTCCAGGAATGACGCCTCCGGGATGTCTGGGGGAAGGAGGCCCAGGAGTTGATTCAGTCACCTTGCTGGGCCCTGTGATGTGAGCCTTACTGTGCATGTGACCCAGCAGTTCTCCATACCTCATCAGGGCATGACTCAGCCCTTTTTACAAAGGAGGAAACTGAGGCCCAGGCAGGTAAGAGGCTGTCCTTTAAGATGAGGTGAGGTAAGGACACAGGCTCTGGGGTTAGGCTGACATGGGCCCTAGGGGTGAGGAGAGCCTGGCCCCGTCATTCCCGCCCCTCCCCCCCACTGTGTCACCTGGGCCAGGCACCTCACCTGCCCTCTCCTCAGCTCCTTGCTCTGTAAACTAGGAGTCTACACCCTGTGGTTGTCAGCATCCCTGGGATGGAGAGCTGTTGGCCCATTCAGCAGATGGGGTGGACTGAGGCTCAGCGTGGGGGAACCCTTTGAAGTGGCGGTGACACAGAGTGGTGGCCCAGAGCACTCTTGGGTTGTGAAGCCAGACAGACATGAACTCGAGTCTCGCTCCTGCCCTTTCTGGCTGTGCTTCCTCTGACAAAGTCGCGTCCCCTCTGAGCCTCAGTTTCCCCTTCTGTGAAATGGGGATATTCGCAGCCCCAACCTCAGGGGTTGTTGGTAACAGCCTAGCTTAGGGGTACATGACACTGAGACAAGGACTCTCATTGTGCTTGTCCACATTCCCCTGTGCAACCACCCCCCAGGAAAGGGACCCTGGTCCAAGCACCTGCTGTGCAGGCTGCTGAGAGGACCAGGCCAGCACCCCCGACCCTGCCCCCTGCCCCAGGTCTCTCTGTACCCACTGCCCACTAGGGCCTGGGCTCAGTGTCAGCCCCTAAGGTGACTTTCCGGAAGCCAGCCCTGGGCTGAGGGTGCTGGCATCCTCAGGCACAGAGGCTAGATGTGGGGCACAGGAGCCTGGGGTGACACTTACGGCTGAAGGCCTCCGGGTGCTGTCTGGCCAGTTTCCCTTTCAATGTCCTGTGGGGAAGGGAAGGCACACAGGGCTGAACCTGCCGAGCAGACAGGCTGGGCCTGGTGCTGGCCAGGAACCCTTGCTGCCAGCTCTGGGCAGGCAGCAGGAGCCTCCCCTCACCGTCTGTTATATCACAGCTGCTGGCTCTGGGGAGGTGCTCAGCCTGGCAGTCAGGACCCTGAGAGCCTCCCAGCAGACCTCCCACCCCAGGGTGGGCATCAACCACCCCACTGTCATAGAGCCTGGGCACTGGCTGGGCCCTCTACCTGCAGTGCCCTTCTTACATCTAACCCCCTCCACACTTCGGATGCTTCTTTCCTTTTTTTTTCGTCTTTTTTCGTGACCGGCAACGGATCGCAACCCTCAGTGTCGCGCCCGTACCGGACCGGGACCGGCAACGGGATCGCAACCCTCGGCGTTGCTCCCGCACCTCGCTCAGCCAGTGAGCGGCCGGTCTGTATGTGGGATCCGAACCCTCGGCGGGAGCGCCGCCGCACTCCCAAGCGGCACACTGTAGCAGTGAGCCACCGGGCCGGCCCTGCTTCTTTCCTTTTTAAGCTGTCTGATTTTTGTCTTTTCCTGAAGTAATGCAGCCATGTTTACAAAGAATGGCAAAGGGGTCTTTAGAGCATAATCTCTCACCCTTCACTGCAGCCAGCCAGCCCCCTATAAAGACCACCATGGCTGGTGCCCTGTACACAACTGTGTGGATACGCTTATTCCTTCCTGATAAGGGTGATAGGGATATGCACCCCTGGGTACCCACCCTTGGGGTTCCTGCCACCTGCACACCATGCCTGGGCAGCTGGCCTGGTGAGATGCCACAGAAAAGATGTGCTTTTAGAAAGGATTTAACCAGCCCATCTCGTGATTTCCGCAAGAGATTGCTCAATAAAACATGTTCTCCTCACTCTTTAGCACCTGCTCCCCAAGTCTGCCAGTGAGGGCAGCTGTCCCCCCGGGACACAGTCTGGCAGAAATACTGCTGTGGCACCAGCTCGTTCTGGGCCCGGGTGTGCCAGCTGCGGCTGTTAGTGGCAGCAGTGATGGCACAAGCAGCCCTGGGGGCCACGTTGAGTGTTGTTGTTGCCGAGGGACGTGGACATCGTCTTTCCTTGTCCTCACAGAAACCAGCTTGGTAAGGACCCATAAAAACTGGAAATCTCATTTCCCTACTGAGAGGACACCTGGGTGGGGGCCGAGAGGGGTGAGTGGATTGCTCTTCTCTGTGTACCGTTTCCTGTCTTGTACATTATGTGTCCAGTGCTGTGTGACATTCTCGAAAAAGAAATAAAATTTAAATTAAAAACCTTCAAGATTTTTATCCCAGAGTTTAGATCTTCTTGGACACTTAAGTGTGCAATGAAGCCTTGTAAAACAAAGAAGTGGAATCTCCCCTTCTCCCTGTTATGTTGCGGAAACCAAATCTCAGATGGGGAGGTGGAGGCAGAGGTCAGCTGGGCTGCGGGATGGGGCCAAGCACCCACCTGATTCTGCGGAAGATGCTGTCCAGGTCCCGCTTCATCTCCACCAGGGTCCTTGTGTGGTGCAGGAAGCGCTCACTCATCTGCTGCAGGCGGGCACTGGACAAGCTGTTGAAGTTCAGCAGCATCTCATTGGTCTTCTCAAAGCGGTCCAGCCTGATGGCACAGAGAAAGCATGAGCTCCCCCACCAGCCTCCAGGGCCCTCCCCAACCTGGCCCTGCCAACTGGTCATGCTAAGCTTGTGCCATTTGCATATCCTTTATAGTTCTACCTGCTGTGTGAGCTATCAAGCGAACTCCTATTCAATCTTCAAAACCCCACTCAAGTGGGTCCTTCTCATGTAGGCTTCTCTACCCCCTCTAACTATCAGACTCTGCTCCTCCTTTGACCCCATTAGCACCAGGTTGTTCCTTTTGCCC